GAATTCCTTACCCAGCAAAAATGTCTTTTCAAAATGAAGGTGAAAAAAAAAAGACTTTCTCAGACTTACAAAAGCTGATGGAATTTAACCACAAACCTGTACTACAAGATATGCTAAAGTCTTAAGGAAGGAGGACAACAATACCATATGGAAGTCTTGATCTACAAAAGGAATGAAAAGAACACCAGAAATGGTAACTACATGGGTACGTAAAAAAAGAGATTTTTTTTCTTATTGTTTAAATCTCTTTAAAAGAACAATCTAAGTAGGACAAGGAACCATTAACTAAAAAAAAACACCCAGAGCTCTCTGGAATCTATCCTGGAATAAATTGTTATATGCTGCCTTGTCTAAATTCTGATGAGGTAATTGCAAGAAGCAAACTCCAGGGAAGCGATTAGCAAGTTCACATTTGCAGTCATGCAGGAATGTGGACTCTACTTATGGAAGAAAATAAGATGGATATGTTTAGTGCAACCACGCCTGAGGTCTGTGGCTCAGCTGGGTCACACTCCAGCCTGAACACAAAGTTTATGTGGACCAAAGCCTTTTTCTGCATCAGTGTATTGTAATGGCGACGTGTCTTCCAGTGGACAGTAACAGATCATACCGGGACAGAGGTCATGGCATCCAGGGATCCCAAGCATTCTCCAGAGGGATTTCCTAGGGGAACTAGGGGATATATCTAGGTTGGTTTTATTGGAGCTGTAATTGACGGCAGTGGCATGTATTCCTTTTGCTTCCAGATTCTTACCATTCACTCTTGGACCCCTTTTTCTGCTTCTTCACTCAGAGGTCACCATTGACTTCCTTATTGTGAATATCACTTGCCTCGTCTCAGTCCTCATCCCCTTGCGTTAGCTTTCCTCTCACTTCTCTGAAAATTCCTCTATTTTATGACTTTTCCTGCCTCCAAGGGAGACTAGGCTACCCAGCTGAGCCGTTTAGTCTCCCTCCTTCCCCACCAGCCTCCTGCTCTGAGATCTCATCCACTCCTATTTCACTCTCAGCTACTTGTTCTGATGACGACTCCCTGATCTCTCTCCAACACCAGGGCCCTGGACCACCTCTGCTCTCTCTAACCAGCAATTTCCCTTCCTCTTTGCACGCACCCCTTTCTATCAATGGCTCACCTGGACGGTAGCCCTAATTGTCTGCTTTTGTGTCTTTCTACCCAACTATTCTGTAATGCAGTGACTGAGATATGCCTTCTTAGAAGCTGCTACTGCTCAGTCTAGTGTCTGGCACACATTTTAAAGAGCCAAATCTTGCCAGAGAATTCAAATCTAATCAGCATATAAAGCATAGACTATGAATAGTCAAAATTACCCTTGAATAAGCCCTTAGTCATCCATAAAATGCACATGGTATTGTAAATCAAAAGGGGAATGGCAAATTCACCTTCCCCACCTCGCACTCCCTCTGGGATGTATTTTTCTGAGTGCAGAGCCACAACAACCCCCACCAGGTGCATATATTCTGTCACTCCCTCCCACTTGTGTTTTATTTTTTGGCCCCGCACAACATTGTAAAGTTCTGATGGACAAATTCCTCTCTCTCTCCTTAAACTGATTCTTGCTTTTAACTTCACAATTTCTAATAATGACACTGAATCAGGCTGAAAATTCTTTGACTCTTCCCTCTACCTCATTCTTTTCTTTCCACTTTCCAGCTTCTTCTTAATCCTTCCTCCGCACAATATCCCTTTGTCTCCCTTCTTTTTGCCTCCTACATGATCCAGGCCCTGGTCACCTTGCATCCTGACTTCTATAACAGCCTCCTCACAGGTCTCGCTGGTCTCTAATTCATGTTTCACTGCCATTATATTAACCATTTCTAAACTTTAGAATTTTAAAATGTTAGATCTAAAGCCCTAATTTAGTCTTATTGCTCCTCTGTTCAAAAGCCAGCAGTGCCATCAGCTAGAGTCCACTCTCTCCAGGCTGAACTGTCTGGGCACAAGCTATCTTCAGTCCTACTTCCCACTCCTCCCAGACGGGAACACTTCTCTCCTTGCCTACCCTCCAAACTTTTCTCACTTCCCTTCACTTAAAGGCCACCTCCACAAACATCTCCATCTACCAAAACTTGACCCAGCCTCAGATGGCAGCACCCAAGGTACCCCTTCCTTCTTACCACTACAGCTCCTTCTTTGTACTGTTCAGCTCACATTGCTACATCATTATGTACCCCCAAAGAAAGGAGATATGTCACCATGGTTTTTTACTCATCCATTCATTCAGCATATATTACTGAGCACTTACAACGTGCCAGGCATTCAATCAGGTACTAAAGGTACGTGGTGAAGACAGATGCCAGTCACAGAACTGATCATCTGGCAGTGGAGGGTGACAATGGACAGGCTGTGAACCTCACAGAGGCTACGAGAGGAAAAGAGGAAGAGTGGGACCTCACCATGACAGCGACCAGAAAAAGCTCCCCCAAAGAACAACACAAGCTGAGATCTGAAGAAAGAGGAGAAAGTCGCCAGGCAGAAGGAAGAAGGAAAGAATTTCATAGGTTGAAGGAAAAGTATGGGGAGAGAAAAAGTCTGAAGGTAAGAGAGGACAGGGATGATTAAAAGAACCAAAAGAAAAAATCATGGCTAGAGCACACAGAACAAGGTTAAAGTCCAGGGGAGGGAATTCCCTGGTGGTCCAGTGGTTAGGAATCTGCCTTCTAATTCAGGGGACGCTGGTTCTATCCCTGGTCAGGGAACTAAGGTCCCACATGCCACAGGGCAAATAAGTCGATGCGCCACAACTAGAGAAGCCTTCATGCCTCCACTGCAGAGCCCATGTGCTAAGACTTCCAAGCTGTCAGGCTACAACTAGAGAGAAGCCTGCGTGCCTCAAGTAAGACCCATCACAGCCAAAAATAAACAAATAAAATATTAAAGTCAGGAGGAGTTGGGACTGAGGGAGACAAGTAGGGTGTAGCCAGGTCACAGCCTATTTTGTAAGGCAAAAGAGGTTGGATTTGACCCTGAGGGCAAGGGAGAGTTTTCAGCAAAGGAGTAACACAACCATATCTGCGCACTGGACAGGCAGGAAAATCGATGGGAGTGGGAAAGATTAGGGATCGATGCAGTGACCCAGATGAAAGAAGACGCAGGCCAGGGCTAGGGTAAGAGCAGAAGGAACCAAGAGGAGTGTAGATGTGGATGCTACAGCTGGCAGGATTGAGTGATTAGCTGAACTCAAAGGAGCCATGAAAGGAGAAGGTCAGAGATGCTCGCACAGCCTAGACCAGGGCTCTGTACATCAGAGTTGCCCAGTGACAATTTGTGGACTGAATGAATGAACAATAAATAAATTACTGAATAAATGATTTACCAATGAGTGACAGGCAGATAAGAGGACATTACTTTTGGAGATCCTTTTCAAGACAGAGCCATCACTAGAAATAATATAGAAGCAAGCAAAAAATTTGAATTTCTTGGTTTACCACCTCCCTATATTAAAAAGGGAGAAATTCTTTTTCTCATCAAGAGAAACTTAGGAAACACAAAGCAATTAGAAGAGTCTCAGATCACTTTTGATGTTTCTACCTCCTCAATGCTGCCTCCCTGAGTCTCTGCCCAACTGATAACCCATCAGGATCATCAATAGCCCCCAGCTTCTCCAAATCCTAGGCCTCTGTGCATGTTCCAGGATTTTCCACACTCTTGAAATGGTTCTTCCAATGACAATCTAAATGGTTCAAAAGCTTTATTTATTTATTGAGTGCCTACTACATGAACTATAAGCTAGGGCTATAAGCATGACAACAACAGACACAGTCCCATCCCTCCTGGAGTTTCCAGTCCCCTTGAGCGTTTCAATCAGATCACTATGTAAAGGATAAAATATGGCTTTTCCCCCATTTATTTACAAAGAAGTCTCTTTGACTGTATACATGCGGTCTCAGAAATAACTGGAGGCCTCCAGTCCGCAGAGGAGTATCATTTTCCTAAGGAGATATCGCCACCTAGTGGTCAAAAACAACTTTACAATTTGATCCAGTAAAATTTCTAGCTGTACTCCTGAGGAGGACTCTCCAAGTCTCTAGAACATTCCCTTTCTCTATCAGGATAATATAGGGGTTGATTCTCTAACATATAATAAGTACTTAATATTTTTAATTAAATATATAAACAGCAGAGCAAATGAATTTCGTACCTTGGTACATTATGGCAATTGAAAATTTACATTTTTTTCCCCCAGATTCTTCTGGATTCCAAAGTACCTCTGAACATTTCTATCTAAAAGCCAGATGCATTTCTGTCCTTAACTCAGCAAACAATTCCTTTAGGTGCACTTGAATAAACTGATATTTTAAGGGTCATTGCCACCATGAATGAAACCTTGACTCCAAAGGAAGCGATCTATAATCCAAAATCAATGAAGAACACAGTCTGTTACCCCAGATGTCAGGATCAATAGCGAAACAAAAGACGGATCTACAAGGAGGAGAGCATGGGCAGAGATGTCCGAAGATGCTTTCACTGACTCTCTTTCTACACACAGGTCAGGCTGAGCCGGGGTCACTGGAAGGTATGCTCTGAAAACCAAGGTGACTCAAAGTGGACTATCCTTAGTAGAGATCACAAAGAAAGTACAAACGAACCAAAGAAATCAGAATCTAGTTTCTTAGGAACTCAAAGCTCCAGGACAATAGTCTAACAGGCCAAGGCTCAGGTTCTCTAGTCTGAAGTGAAAGAAAGTTGCTCAGTCCGACTCTGCAACCTCATGGACTATACAGTCCATGGAATTCTTCAGGCCAGAAAACTGGAGTGGGTAGCCCTTCCCTCCTCCAGGGGATCTTCCCAACCCAGGGATCAAACCCAGGTCTCCTGCACTGCAGGCAGATTCTTTACCATTTGAGCTACCAGGGAGGTCTACTTAAGTACATAAAAGTGGATCTCCAACTGATCCTGGGGAGCCTCCTGGCTGTTAGGCCTTGATTCTCCTGATGCTTGTGGCCCAGATGGTAGGAAAATGGCAGTTAGCAGCAGTTACCTGGCTCCTCCTCTCTCAGAACATGGAGAGGCTGAAGCAAAGGCTTCGGGAGGGCTCCTTGCCATCTGTCAGTTCTTTTCTACATGGCCTCATCCTTCCTGTCTGATTAAGATTGTCGTCTGTGCATAAAGAGAGGGAACCAGAGAGGCATCAGAACACAGTGGAGTGAAGAGCAAGGACTCGGGTTCTAAGCCCAACCCCCTTCACCTGCCAGCCCTGGATGTCTGGCAAATTTCTTAAGCTCGCCAGCAAGGCCAGCAGGTACAGCTGTGCAGGTGGTGGGCCAGCTCTAGGGATGTTGCACAAATGCTAATCACTGTAGATTTGTTCATGCGCTGAAATAACTTTTTAGCAAATAGCTGTAAAGTGTCTTGAAGGGTCCCTTTCTCTAATTCACCCAAAGGCCCCCAAATGGTCTAGCATCAGCCCTGTATTCTGAGCTTCAGTTTCCTATACCACAAAACAGAGACAATCTTCATCTATCTATAGAGTTGGCCAGAGAACCAATCAAAATAGTGGATATGAAGCATCTTGAAAACTGTAATGTGCTCCGTAGGCTATACTTCTCTATATTCATTTTGTGATTATCCAAATTTGAGGGACTGGCATAACAAAGATGAAATAAGTTTCAGCCTACAATAATTTTTTTTTCTCTCTTTGAAAAGAGAAGCAAAGGCCAGTAATCAGATAACAATTATTTTCTCACTCAAAATATCACAATGCAAAAGGTAACTTTGTACTAATCATTGGGACCTTAATGTGGGAGTTGCTTTACTAAGTAAGCAAAGTAGCTGAATTTGTTTTGAAAGTTAGACCTTCTCTGACTCTTCAGATAAAATGAGTGATTTAAAGCTAAGCCTTGTGCAACCTCAAGCCCGCTACTGACCACTGGAAACTGGGTTTTCTCGGGAAGACACTTCTGAAGGTAGGCTAAGGAAAAGTGGCAAGATTTATGAATTTTTAAGTTAGCCCACAGAAGTCATTCTGCAACGCAATGTATATTTGAGGGAAAAATTTTCAGAAAAACAGCCCACATAATGCCTCTTGGCTGTTTCTTACTGTGAAGATTCAGCTAAGAATAGTTCAGTCTAGTAACACAAATGAGGTCATATAATTTTGCGTTGTCTCGAAAAAGATGGAGAATGGATAGGCAGCAGTTTCAGCTTTCTAATTTGGTCTGTTTTGAGACAATGTTAAAAAAGGAGTCGAATATTTAATCTGCCTTTCTTGGGCAAACTGTCTTTGGGGTAACCAAATAATTGATGAGGGGTAAGTTTCTCTTTATAAAAAAATTTCTCAGGCCCAGTTTAGAGTTCCACTTCTGGCCTCACAGTACAAGGGGCTCCACAAACAGCTGTCCAGTGAAACTAATGAAAATTATTTTGATTTGTTGGAGTCTCTGGAAATGGCTGTACTAGCATACAACAAATGAAGAAACAGTTGTTCAAGAAAACCTACCAAACCTCGGTGAGAACTGCAAGAGTCTATGGTACGGGAAGGGAAGAGCCTTTCCCCACCCACTCCTTTGGCCCCACTTCAGTGAGGTGACTCTCCTCCAGACTGCCGCAGCCCAAGGACACAGGGCTCCCTCTCTCCCTCGTTCCACGTCCGAGGGCTGCTTTCCAGGAAGAGCAGAACGTCATCCTTTCTCATCCTGCCCCTACCTACCTGTTGCAGAGACTGTGCTCTGGTGAGTACAGCCTCTAGAGCGAATCGCTCTTCTTCCATCCAGCCCCTAATTATGGAAGCTTGAACTTGGGTTCAGAACTGCTGAGAACACTGGGGTCCCACCGGCTCTTTCCTCAACTCATGGGGCGTGGGGCCCAGGCTTTTATAACTCAAACCTAAGATTCTGGGTCCCTGAGAGTTTCGTTAATTTTACAAATTTCTTTTACATAATTTTGAAATTTTTCTGTATTAAAAAAGTTTAAGGATGAAAACATTGTTAAAAAAAAATCCTTGCAAAAACCAAGCATAAGGGACCCTGAGACTCTGAAATTTTGAGTCTTCACGAGCATCACTGAAATTTTCCTACAGACTCAGTAACTCGGGAACTGGATCCTTGGACTCTTTTATGTCAATCCGAGTCCCCTACCACATACACAGGAATACGACATGTAACAGTGAATGTTATTTGACAGATGCAGATGTTATCCTCAAGATAAACCATTTCCAGGAAAAGCAACACGTTAGGGGTTTCCACAGGCCAAATTCATCTTCCTATAACTAGAAACCTTCCAGCGTTCCAGCGAGGAGATAAAAGTGACCCAGAAACAGAGAAACAAGTCTATTGATAAGCAGTGGCTGTGTTTTTAATCACTAAAATTACCCTGGGCCCTAAAGGGAGAGAAACAATCCAAGCTAGAAAGGGCTTTTTCTCTCTCTCACTTATTTCAGAAGCAAGTAGAAGCGAATGAAGAAAACAGAATCCCTAAGGTCAGACCCTGGTAAAGGCTCCAGGGAGTCCAAGTCCCCTCTCCTTCCTGCCCTCACGTCCAAGGTCGCTGTGCCTGGGAGCCCGAGCATCCTTCCGCCTACACCTCGGACACTTCACTCTGCGCCCTGGAGGGATGGATCTCCTCGTCCTCTTCATCTGTGGCCTGAAGAATCCTCAGCAGTTTGAGCTCAGGGTTCCAGCTGATGCCAGAAGCGCTCTCTGGGGTCTTCACTTGGTCTTCCAGCAAAATCTCCATCTGAGTCCTGATGTCCTTCTTATTGTATTCTATTTGGGGTAATTCGGGACCTAAAAAAAGACCCAGCCATCAACTGCACCTGTAGCCTTCTCCCAATTAACTATGAAAAATGGAAGACAGAAAAGGAAGGACTCTTCTGAGGGGTGAGGGCTGTGCCCTCCAGGGAAGTGAACCATCCTGATCAACGAGGTTCTGCTCCCCCGTCCTCAGACACTTTCTAAGGTTCCTCCACCCTAGGATCTTATGCTTCTTACTGCGGGAGGAGTCCAGCGATTCCTTAGCGACGTTTGTCTGTGATCTCTCTGTGGAATCCTGAAATTCATAAGTGTAAAGAAACTTGAGTCAGGATTTAGGAAACAAAAGGCTTTTCTAAATGATGCTTTCCTTGGAGAAATTAACGTCTTAGACAGGACAAAATGCCACCATCTGACACTGAAGAGAGAAGGTTGTGTCACGGGCTCTTTGGCCCTGCAGGCTGCCCACGTGAAGCCAGAAAGCAGTTTTCCCCAGTCCCCGCAGTTAACTAAGGGTAAACTGCCTCCAAAGGCATGTGTATGTGTTAGTCACTCAGTCATGTCCAACTGTTTGCAATCCCATGGACTAGCCCGCCAGGCTTCTCTGTCCATAGGATTCTCTAGGCAGGAATACTAGAGTGGGTAGCCATTCCCTCCTCCAGGGGATCTTCCCAACCCAGGGATCAAACCTGGGTAGCTGCCAGCAATTCTTCCCATTCCTATAAGCACATGCTATTCTTACCATCATGAGACAGAGTCAACTTCCTCTCCTTTCCAATCTGAACTGGACTTGCAATTTTTTTTTAACAAATACAATGTGGCAGAAGTGACATGGTTCCAGTTCCAGGCCCATCCCTAGGGATGTACCTTCCCTAGGGAAGTACCTTCCTGAGATTACTTCTTGGTTGTCAAAAAGCCCAGGCCAGACAGATGGAGAGGCCTCATAAAAGAAAACTAGAGATAGTTTGGCCAAGAGCCCCAGCCCAGCCTTCAGCTGAATGCAGCTGTATGAGTGACCTGAGGCAAGACCAGAAAACTATCCAATTAACCCACAGAATCATGAGAAATAACAAACCACTGTGGTTCCGCTTTGCGGTGGTTTATTATACAAAAATAGACAACTAAGGGCTTCCCAGGTGGCACTAGTGGTAAAGAACCTGCCTGCCAATGCAAGAGACCTAAGAGACATGGATTCAATCCCTGTCTGGGTCGGGAAGATCCCCTGGAGGAGGGCATGGCAACCCACTCTAGTATTCTTGCCTGGAGAATCCCCATGGACAGAGGAGCCTGGCAGGCTACAGTCCATGGTGTCACAGAGTTGGACACAACCGAAGTGTCTTAGCATGCACGCCATAGACAATTGAGACAGGGCCCTAGCAGAATGGCCCTCACCTGTTTCAGTGTGGGGCCTTCTGTCTAGCATGCACGCCATAGACAATTGAGACAGGGCCCTAGCAGAATGGCCCTCACCTGTTTCAGTGTGGGGCCTTCTGTCTTCATCAGCTGCTGCTTTCTGTCACTTTCCTGACCTCGTAGAGTTTTGCGACCTAGTGACCACAAGATCAAGTCAAGTCTCCTACTGGTATTCCACATCCCATTGCTGGGCTTCTAGTTGACCCCAGTCTACAGGTGACTCCCCAGCCAGGACAATACAGGACCTTAGAGGCAGGTAAAAGGGAGTGAGGCCCTCTTAAGTTCTATTTGTGATTCTGTTCGCCTGGGACCGTGACCACATCTAGTATAGAATTAGTGAGTAAGGGAGCCTGTGTGTTAAAAGCTCCAGGATTCCTCAAAGAAACCTAAGGGGCAAGCACCTGTATGTCAGTGTAGCAAAAGAACCCCTAGGTCTATCTTTTAAGTTTATGAATCCTGTTCTTACTTTCTTGGGCCATCCCTAAGTTACCTCTATTGACTTACGAAAATGAACATCCTCCCACCCCAAAAATTCTAGATCTATGACTCTTTTGTATCAGATCTTTCCCCCAACTAGTCACAAAATGCACTAGTTCTTTCCCTTCCATTTCTCTTCCTTTAAATGAGCAGTCTTCCAAGCTACCACCAGCGGTACAAGGCTAAAAGGGACCGCCAAACAAGGAACTCCTTGCTCCACACTTGTGCTGGCTCTGTCAGCACTGGTTCACACCTTAGTCACACCTGGGGCATTCTGAAAACCACCCAGGCCTGGACCCAACACCATACACTCTGATTTTAATAGGTCTGGGGTGCAGCGTGGATGTTAGGGTTTTGAAAGCTCCTCAGTCAATCGCAGGGTGCCATCAAGGCAGATCACCAATGCCCACCACTGAGGATAAAGATCAAACATCTCAGCAGGCCATCTCGTCGGCCTGATCTACCTCTGTCGCTTAAATACCCAACCCCACGACCACAGCAGACTGCTCAGGGCTCCCTGCAGCCACGCTCCTCCAAGATACATTCACCCAGCCCATCCCTGCTTCCAGGAATTCTCTTCCATATTGGGGAAACTCTCACACATACCCATGATCCAGTGCAAAAATCACCTCTTCCATGAGGCCTTTCTCAACTCAGAGAGGACAAGCCACTGCTCTAAGAATATAATTCAAAAGGGAGCCCCAGTCACCCAAGCAAAGCTGCTCCTACTGGAGGCACCAGGAAGAGGAACAGAAGGCACCAGAATAAAACTCAGGGGAGTTGTCCTCACCCTGGATACAGGGCTAACCTTGCACAAGTGTCTCCGTGCTGGGCCACAGTCCCAGTGCTGTCTGCCTCCTATGTGAAGGTTCAGGAGGCTTCTTCGATCTCCAATTTAGAAGACACTTTTAGTATCAAAGAGCAGGGTGAGTTGAGAGATAAACCAAGAAAAGCATCCTTATCAGGAAACACCTCAGCCTCACCTTCCGGGTGCCCCAGGGTTGGAGGGTGAATTCTGATGACTAAGCAGTTATTTCCCCATCACAGACAGCAATGTCTGGTCTATTTAGGGCAGAAGAATCTGCCACAGTTTAGGGGGATTCTTTCTCCTTGCTTCTCATTCTACACTCAAACTGAGAAACATCAGAGGGGCCGAGGTAAGTATGTCCTTCAGCTCAGACATAAGAACTCCAAAAGGGGGAGTCTCCTATCTCTGGCATGAACACTAGAGGAAAGGGATCGCCGGTCAGGAACTAGCCCCCGCGTCCTGGATGGGGCTGGACTGTGAAAGGTAACCTGTGGCTGAGAAGTGGCTGACTCCGCTTCCTTAGAACTCTCCTGGGGCTGTGGTGAGGGGCCCCGGCTCTTCCCTGTCTCGCAGGCCAGTGGGCTCTTGGGGCTCTTCTCCTCAATAACCCAGGCTAGCTCTTCATCCCCAAACCACTGCCTTTTCTAAAGGAGGACCTGAGGGGGGAGGAGCCAAGATGGCGGAGGAATAGGACGGCGAGACCACTTTCTCCCCGACAAATTCATCGAAAGAGCAATTCAACGCAGAGCAAACTTCACAAAACAACTTCTGATCGCTAGCTGAGGACATCAGGCGCCCAGAAAAGCAGCCCATTGTCTTCGAAAGGAGGTAGGACAAAATATAAGAGATAAAAAGAGAGACAAAAGAGCTAGGGACGGAGACCCATGCCGGGAAGGGAGTCTAAATAGAGGAAGTTTCCAAACACCAGGAAACCCTCGCACTGGCGGGTCTGGGGGAAGTTTTCGAATCTCGGAGGGCAACCTAACTGGGAGGAAAAATTAAATAAAACCCACAGATTACTTGCCTAAAAGCAACTCCCAGCAGAAAAGTACCCCAGATGCCTGCATCCGCCACCAGCAAGTGGGGGCGGAACGGGGAGG